TCAGTCTTGGCTGGAGGGGTTCTGGTAGCGAAGGAAAGGGCAGCAAGTGAATCATCTACTTACCTTTCTTACCTGCCTTTGCTTCTGATTTAATCAGTAGGAAAAAAAAAGATGCTATTTTGTGTTATTTTTAGCTTACAGATGTCAGATTGACTTCCACTCATAAGGCGTCAAGCTATATCTTTATCCATCATTACAGTCAAGTGCCCAGAGTACTTGGTGCAGTCATTTGGTGAAATTAAAAACCATATCAGGTCATTTTTATATCCTGTGCAGCCCAAGCCACAACATGAATGGAGCCATTTGCCCTATTTTTCCCAACTCAATATTTGGGCTGCACATCCAGGATAGCTGATTGGCAGCACCACCCCCTCTACTGTCAAATGAATGCAAGCAGTGCCCGTGGGTACCAACACCCACGTACTTGTGAAAAAACATGGACATGCACATACACCCCCCCCCACACAACACTTGTGCACGTATGCATCTCCATGAATGTCTAACTGTACGCACAAAAATAGATGCACAAATGTGTACACCCCCAACCAATGCGCGCGCACACACGCATGCAAAAGCGCACACGCACACACACCCAGTCTGCTTCATTCATCCGGGAACATCGGAGACGAGAGCTTTTGCTCATTTTTTTTTTAATGTATCACAATGAGCAGGAAACATACTTGATGAAATATTTTCAAAGGAGTATATTCAATTACCATCTACAATCAACTTAACTATGACAACAAAGTTTTTTGTGACAAATTTTTTTTAAAGTTTTGAAAGTTCCATGTGGTTTCTGTTTCTGTTAGTCTCCATGTATTTTGGTACAGTTCGAGATCAGCATTGTTACAGTAACAAAAAAAGCTAACAAGACTACATTATAGAAAAACACCAAGAACATCATTTTTGGTTTCACTTGCTCTATTTTTTTTGTACATTGCAAAGGCTGTTCATATACCTCTTCACCTCATTTATGCTTTCTGTTCTACCCAAACTTGCCCCCCAAAAATAAAACAAACAAAAAATAGTCAAAGCTTTGTGTTTCACAGTGGGCAGTATCTCAGCGCCAACAAACCAACCAACCAACTCAATTTCTGCTTCTATTTAAAATGTTTAATTTATTTTTATTTAAAAAAGCAAAATATATTTCCATGAACATCAAGTGTGCTGGCTTGTGTTAATGCGTCTCTCTTGCCTGCATCTTCCTGCCCTGCCTGCTGAACGGGCTCCGGTCACCCTACTGAACACGTGCCTTATGTTTGACTTTATTCTCAATCGTGAAACTTTGGCCATCTCCACCACTTTAAAGAGCTTTTAAATTAAAACAAACAGAAACCTGCTCAGTGCTGTGTTTAAAATCCTTTCCTTGTGTTTTTTCCCCCCTTTCCTTCTAGGGAAAGTAAAAGGGAGACCCTCCCACCCCTTCCCACTCCCCTGAAGCTCTAGGGTTTTGGTGGGTGCTGCATGAAACTGGCTGAATAGACCCAGCTACTCCAGTCTCGCTCTCCCCGGGGCTGGGTGTCCAGCACCAGGCCGTGTTGCGTGGTTTTTCGTCAGAAACGAACAAACAAACAAACAATATTAAGGGATAAATTTTAAAAAGCCTTCAAAAAAAAAAGAAAAAAAAAAAAAACTCACTCCCCTCCCATAGCTTCTGAAGGAGAAGACAAGAACAAATTCTCAAGCAAGAGCCAGCATGAAGGGAAGTAGTACGGACAGATATTGAACTACTGGCATGAGTTTTCGTGCCCATGGAAGCGACAGACGAACAGCGCTAGCGGGGAGGCTTGGTGTTGGCGGCTGGGCCCCGTGCACGGCTCCGCGTGCATCTCAACCCTGACTTCGAGCGTCTGCTGCTCTAGCACTGAGCCTCTCCCGAGCAGAGGTTGCTACTTGTACCGCGATGTGTTACGAGGGGCAGGGGAAAGGGGAGAATAGCAATGTGATGGGAAAGTTATCCTCCAAGGACCTGATCCAAGCATGACTAACTGCAACTGAAGGGGGACTAGAACTGAGCAGTCCAGATAACGCCTTCCCCTCTGACCGGGATCAGACTTACCAGCCTGACCTGCCTGCTCTGCTGTTCGTCAGGCCCATGTATGTGGGGACCCGCAGCGCAGCCGGGGCTGCAGGAAGGGGGCTGACTTGGCAGCCGCCGCTGCATGGCACTGCCCGGAGACAAGCAATCTCAGGCTGAAAGAGTCTCTAGAAACATTTAGAAAAAATACAAGGAAATGAGTTTATAAAACTTTTTAGTGGGCGGGAAGGAAGAAGGGGAAGGAGGAGAGAGAAATTGCACTATGGCCAAGCAATATAATTAAAAAAAAAAAAAAAAAAAAAACA